GAACAAAATAACTATCATAATATTTCGCTTCATGATATAAAAACAACACTGAAATTATATTAGCTTAAATTTATCTCTAGGTTGCCATTAAGCTCAAACAATAATAACTTGAGCAGAAGAAATTTTAGCTGCTAATTCTTTTTGAATGTATATTATAATGCAGTGTGGAAGCAAGCTAATCTCCCTTTTACTTCGAGAATTCAAAGCAACATGTTTAAAAATGAGTTGATCTTTATTGTGTTTGACGATAATTTTATCTCCACAATTGCTGAACTAGAAGTCTTGGAATGAACATCACATATCACACATCCAAAAAGAACTAAAATCTGATTTACATTTATTTCAAGTACAGGATCAAAACTGAGAGAGATTAGTACTACTCCCTCCAGCCCTAGAGATGGGCACTTCAGCATGCAGATTGGCCGTCGCAGTACCGGCGTTGCTGACTCTGATTGTGGTTGAGGCGTAGTGTGTTTGCTAGATGAGTATGAGCAAACGATTCCCCTGGATTACTATGAGGCAGGAGGCAGTAGGGGCGAATGGCGGCTGCAGCACAACGATCTCGCAAATCATAAATTCATAGGTTAATCACGGAGAGCTGCCGCACTTGACGCTAAGGCTAGCAAACTATTTGGGGCCGAGGAAATCACCCAGGACTGGCTATGAATGGGCTTCCTCATGGGCCTTTTCCCTTTTTACAAATTTAATTAATGTTATAGAGATAGGGGGCGGCGGGGCCAGTACACGTAATTACGACCTAGATGGCGCTGGATCGGTTAAAGGTGGAAGAATTTGGCACGACCAAGAAGAAACACACCAGCCGTTGGATTTGAACTGACACGATTTTTCTTCATGCACCTGACCAAATGATGCTCTCAAATTAAGAAAGCTGCAAAGTGCCCTTCTGGGAAAAGCAGCAACAAAATAAAGAAATGGCTAAGGTCAGATAGTTAATTAGTGCTAATAGAAACCCAACAGTGGCAGACAAGGGTGCAACGTACGTACCACTGCAAGCTGTGTGTATGTCTCTCCACTGTGTTGCTTGCATCCTACGTTACGGCTGGGCGGGTAGAATACACATATCATAGTTAACTCAGTTTATAGTACACTATAGTACA